AATATTTGATTTACAAATAAGGAATCCCACTTCGCGGAATTTCATTTATCACGGTAGGGTCTAGAACCGATTAACCGCGATAAACGAGGGTTCACTGTACTATTAAAACGATCTGTTAAAAAATTAACAACAAACTTTTAGAATGGAGGCAAACAATTGCTTTCCCCTGAAGAAACATTCGAGCAAAACCAGTGGACATAATACATTTTTCTATGATACAGAATATTACCAAACTATAATAAATGCTTTGTACTCATTGTTACTGAATTAGCAGAACAAACCCATGAGGTAGAGGGTACTCAGTGAGGTAGATTCATTTTATAGTAGAAAAAAAAAATCTCAGCAAGGTAACTTAACCAAGGTCACATGATGAGTATATGGAGAGGTCTCCATCTATTATCAATTGCCTTGAACTTTGGGCAAGGCCTTGGTTCCTCAATTTTTATAGAATTCCATTCATGATAGTTACTATCACCACACTTGATTTATTAATTTTTATCATGGAAAATGACAAGGATTCTAAAAACTGAAATAATGTAATGGCGATGTCAGGCCTTAATCGAGAGAGGACACCACACTTGGTAAAGTTAACAGGGCAGCAAAAAAAGGAATGCCCTCAAAAAGATAAGCTCAAAGAGTTGCAGCCAACAATGGGCTCAATCATGAGAATAGTTTTAAGGATGGTGCAGGACCGGGTCTCGTTTTGCTCTGCTACGCAGTCACTGTGAGTTGGAACCAACTAAATAACACTTAAACTCCAGTATATCCATCACCCATCTTTAATAATTACAAGACAAAATGGATTACCCCTGACGTGCAGAATCATATAGAACTATTTTAACCGTCCCAAGTTTTATCAGGAAAATGGTGTGGTTAAAAGTAAACTTGGTGAGCCCTGCTTGGCACAGTGGTTAAAGCCCTCAGGTGTGAACTGAAAGGTCACCAACTGCTACCAGATGTGGTAACCTGCTTTGGTAAATATCTATAGCCAGTGGGGCAATTTACTCGATCCTATACATTTGCTAAGAATAGGAATTGACTGATGGTAATTGATTTGGTTTTGGAGTAGGGTAAATCCAAAGGCTTGAGTCTTAAAACTATTAAGTACCAGTTTCCATAAACCAACTGTCCTTTTGTTACCAACATTTTCCTTTTAAAAAGATCTGGAAGTACAAATACCTACCATAAAAAGTACTGGATTAAATATACCATATATATTCGAGTATAAGCTGACCCAAATATGAGCCGAGGCACCCAGCTTTACCACAAAAACTGCATTTAAAAAGTGCTGAAAAATTCAGCTTATGACTCGAGTATATACGGTAAAAGCTAAACTCTGCCATGGACCACTTCTGATTCATAGCAGTCCTACAGTAGGTCTGAGAGACTCTGTGGGGATAAAAAGCCCAATCTAGTTCCTGAGATATAGTAGCTAATAAGGAGAACCCCATATATTTAATTTTTCAAGACTCTTTAGTCAAGCTAACCTTCCTTAACCAAGCATTTCGTAAAAATTCCTTTTTCCTAAAAGTTTTACTGATCACTCCTGAAAACAATGGTTCTACCTCTATAAGTTTTCAAACACGTTGAAATAAATGTTTAGTAGGAACTTATTTTCTAACATTTTCCTAAATAATGCTGTAAGGTATTTTAAGTCAGAGAAAATATAACTATGGAGGGGGAAAATGGTTTATGTTGTACATACTGACATAGTTAGTGTTTACAACTGTTTACAAATGCTCTTTGAGTTTGCTGAGGAGCATTCTTGAACTTTAAAAAAGAACTTTGGCACACAGATATTTATTTATACCTCTTTATTTATTAGAGCCATACAAATTAAACACCACCTGATGCTTTTGGATTCTAAGATTCTGGAATTCTAAGAATGGTCAATGAAGTGAAAATGTTAGCAAAATCACGCAAGGAAGAAAAACTCATTCAAGTAGTACACATTTCAAATGGAAAATCTGAATTATTACTGCAAACTAAAATAAAAATTTAAATTATTTAACTTAAATCTACATGTCTAATAAGTACTGTGGTAACATTAAGATGAACAGAGAAAGGATTGAAGTTGTCAAGACATCATTTTGCTTGGCTCCACAGCCAATACGCATGGAAACAGCAGTCAAGACCTCAACCAACATATTTGTGTTGGGTAAAACTCTCTGAAGTGTTGAAAAGAATGTTATTACTTTTGAAAATTAAGGTGCCTAACCCAAGCTATGGTATTTTCAGTTGCCTCATATGTATGTGAAAATTGGACACTGAATAAGGAAGGCCAGAGAAAAACTGATGCATTTGAACTATAGCACTGATTAAGAATACTGAAAGTACCACATACTGTCCAAAGGTCAGATCTGTCTTGGAAGTATAGCTGCTTACAAAGGGATGGAGAGACTGTGCCTCACATACTTTGGACCTGTTATCAGGAGCAACAAGTTTCTCCAGTTCCTGGAGATGGTTATCATGTCTGGTAAAATGGGAGGTGGGTACCCCGCACAAAAAGAGGAAGGACCTTGACAAGAGGAATAACACAGTGGCTGCAACAATGGGCTCAAATGTAACAATTGTGAGGATGGCACAGGACAAGGCAGTGTTTCATTCTATTGTACGTAAGGTTGCTATGAGTTGGAACTGACCCAGGGCACTTAACTTACGGTGACCAGATGTCCCGATTTTTAGCAATTTTTCTTGCATCCCGCGGCGTTTTAAAAAATTCCCTATTTTTTTGAAAGAATGCACAAGCTAGGGTATATGGTTTTCAGCTGCCATGTGGCTATTTCGCCAGGATATTAGTTTTATCAATGGTGTCCTGCTTACCACTGTTAAAATCTGGTCACCTTAACTTAACTACAAGTATTATGTATAGTTAGTTGAGGTTAGGAATCAGATTAATAATCATCTAGGAAACATTTCCTATTGATGTTGGAGAACCTATGAACAAGTCTGTATTGGTCTTTTTATTCAAAAGTAAAAATTTTGAGGCAGTGTTACTGGTTCTTTGTAATGAACTGTTTCAGAGTTAAGTCAGATTAGTTAACCACTGCCTGACTTTAGAGATTAAAAAAACTAAAACTAAACCAGAAGCAAGTTACCTAAATTCCAAAAATGCCTAGTTCTGTAAAACACACACACACAGGCACACACACATTGCTACCTCTACACCTATCTCTTAATTTTTAGTTAACAAAAAGTGTGGTGGCACTGTCATGTAAGCGTTGGACTGCTAACCAACCTGGATAAAAAAATAATAAACCACTAATAGAATTTTTGTCATGCTTAATGGTTTGTTGTTATTCTAAACATGTTAAGTAGTAAAGGAGAAAAATGAAAAAAATCCCAAAATTGGTATTAGTGATGACCATTTGTCGACACTCCCAACTATTACTGATTTTGAGTAGAGTTAGTTTCATGTTACATTATACAGTTAAGAGATTTTTTATGAGCTTTGCCTTTCATTCACCAGATCAGTTAATCATACTGGAGGGTAAGAAGTTAACAATGTGATGGCAATATATGTACAAATATGCTTGATAGAACTGATGTATGGAATGTTATAAGTTGGAAGAGACCCCAATATAATGATTTTTAAATTTAACAATGTGAACTCCTAATCCAATCAAAACATCCCCCCAAATTACTTTCTGATTAGTTTCCCACAGCTTTCATGTGGAAAAGAGGTGCCTTCAGGATAAACGTAGGCATCGAAGTAAAACAAAGAGGTCTAGCCAGTTTACGATTCCAAAGACGCGGATTCAAACCGAAACTTCTGGTATAAAGAGCCTGAAGCCATTTTGAGAAATAAAGGGATTGGATTGGTAAAGGGCTGAACGGAAATCCCGCCCAAAGGAAGAATTTCAATTCGGGATACCACCGCTATTAAGCCCCTGCCGAGTAGGTGCGGGCGAACGAGCCAGAAAGCTCCTTGGATTGTGAGGCCGAAGTGGACTGGCTGGAAGCTGCCCAGTCCCTTTAAGTAACAAACGCCTGAACGTAAAGATCCTAAAGACAGACCGTGGTCCTTTCCCACGCATTACCAGAACCTTCCACACGACTGTGCAGAACTACGCGCGCTTTGCCAGACCCAGTCTTCGATTGGGGTTCTTGGGGCCGACAGGGCGAGTTGAATAGCACCATGGGGCTTCCAAGGCGGAAAGCCTTGACCGAAGCACACTGCCTCCCCTTTCTCCCGTGAAATAGTTGGGGGGCCGAGCGGCACTTAGCCACTGCGCCACGAGGGCTCCTGACTCGAGGATTCGGAGGGAAACGGGAGGTCCGGCGTCTTCCTAGGGAGAGGCGCGTGTGCCGCAGGAACGGGGGGAAACTTAAAGGCCATTTGTGCAGCACGCGCGGGTTCTAAGTACGTTAGCTGCTGAAGCTGTTCCCTAACAAAACCACCCAGGGAAACGAAGTCTCCACATTTCGGACGCCGGAAGGGCCCCACTTCCCCCTTTCTCCTGCGCGACGGAGTAGCGGCCTACTCAGCCAGCGGCCGATTACCGCGAGCAGCCCGAGTCCCGCCGCGCGGTCCGGGCTTACCTGTCGGGCTCTCTGCAGCGCATCTTTGAAAGCATCGTTGACTCCGCCGCCGCCGCCGCCGCCGGCTGAGCCTGAGGAGGGTGGAGGCACTGTCGAATAGTCTGCCATAACTACCCTAGCGTGGCCGCTGCGGCTTCTTCGCAGAAACCTCTCCTCAGCTAACTGCTAAGAAAGAAAGAAAATGGCGGCCGCCGAGGCTATGTCACATTCTTGTGCGACCATCGTGCCGTAAAGGGGCGGAGACTGAGAGGAAAATCTCGCGACGTTTGTGAGGCAACGCGTTGGGATGGGGGTGGGGCTGGGAAAGAAAAGAGGGAAAGAAATGTCGCGGGATCTGGGCTTAAGAGTCGGCGAGATTCGGGGTTGTGTCCGAGGCTCTTCTCAGCGTGTTATTGCAATTAGCCTTTGTAGTAGTGGGCGACTTTGACGTTGAGATGGCGATGGCCGTTGGGGGTGGGGTGGGGGGTTCGGTAAACCGGAAGTAAAGAGTACTGGTTTCTTCTCCTCGGCCGACTCCGGGAGAAAGCATTCGTAGGCATGAAAGTATCGCCAGAGGCCATTCGGTCTGTTCCTGAGGGAGGGAGTGACGTCGATGACGCGGCGACGCAACAGAGTCCCCGGCGCGCTCGCAACTTTAAAGCGCGCTCGGAGGCCGGGCCGCGCGGCCGTCTGCCGAAACCGTCCGCCGAAACCGTCCGCTCGGCCTAGCGGGAACCCAGCAGCAGCATGCTTTTCAGGGTAGTAGAGGCGTCCTTGTGGGTCGTTTCTAGATTGTCATATTTTAGTTGTATTACAACTGGGGATAAATCCAACCTGGAGGCGTCTTAGTTCTGTTTTAAGGTTTTTGTTCAAATAATGTGGGTGAAGTTGTGACCATATGAATCTTCTTTTCTCTTTAAAAAAAAAAATTCCCAAATTCAATGTTAACCAGACTGATACTCTAGTATTGGATGTGACCATGGCCACTTTTACTGAGGTCTTTAGCATTAAGAAAGCATCCCTCTCCTCCACCCGTCAGGAACTTGTCCAAAATTGACCGGGCGGCTTTGAAGAAGTATCTCTCCGCTATCACAACCCGTGGGAACTCAAATGTAAGTTGACGTTCAGAATTGTCATTCCAACCTGTGGACCTCAGAGATACATAGACTTGTATTTGTGAGTTTGTGAATCCAGTTATCCAGTAATTCCAGACATTTCTCCAGATTTTGCGAGGGATATTCAGCTTTCAAAGTACCTATTTTGTAGTTTCAGTTACTTTTGAAACACCAATTATTAGTGGTTATTTTGTTTAATTTTGCACTACAGTGATGTATCCCCTAAATTATTTGCATTTACATAACAAAGGTTAATGTAAAAGTAACTTGCCCAATATTATGACATTTGTTTCTTGTGAGCTGGGTTTTTAAAACAGTTCTTTTCCTATTGGTCTAGCAGTAATTTCAAGAAAAATATACCATAGCCTTTTAAAAAAATATCATTTTACTGGGGGCTCTTACAGCTCTTATAACATTCCATACATCAATTGTATCAAGCATATTTGTACACATGATGCCATCATCATTTTCTAAACGGTAGCAGCCTTGTTTTTGGTACATAAATAATGTGCCCATTTGCTCAAGGTCCAAATAGACACCTAAACGGTTTATGCACATGGATACAAATCGGCCATTATTGCCCTCCAATCATCTTTAACTACATTTAACAATGATTCTTATCTTTATTTTTTACTACTCATAGGTATCCCTGCAAATTTTTGTGGAAATTTGCATTTGGGAAAGCATGGAATCACTGGACTATATACATTTAAACATGCTGCGCTTGTAAAGTCATTGAGTCACTTCCAACCCATAAGGCCCCTATGTACAACACTGCCCAACCCGGTACCATTCTCACAATTGTTCTTATGTTTGAGCCCATTGTTGTAGCCCACTGTGTCAATCCATCTTATAGCCTTCCTCTTTTTTACTGCCCCTCTCCCTAGCATGATGTCCTACTCCAGGAACTGGTCTCTTCTGACAATATGTCCAAAGAAGGTGATTCAAATCCCTGACTTCATTACATTAGAGCATTCTGGCTCTAATTCAAAGAGAACTTTGTTTCTTCTTTTGGCAGTCCATGGTACCATCAATGTTCTTCACCAGCATTATAATTCAAAAGCATTCATTCTTCTTATTTTATGTTTTCCTTATTTAATGTCCAACTTTCACGAGTATATGAGACAATTGAAAATATCATGGCTTGGGTCAGGCACACCCTAGTCGCTAAAGTAACTTGCTTGCTTTTCAACACTTGAAAGAGGCCTTGTGCAGTAGATTTACCTAATATAATGCATTGTTTGCTCTGTTGACTGCTGCTTCCTTGATTGTGGATCCAAGCAAGATGAAATCCAAGACAACTTCAATCTTTTCTCTGGTTATCATGATGTCACCTATTGATCCAGTTGTGAAGATTTGGGTATTTTTGTTTTTATTTTAAACATTGAGTTACAATCTATATCGAAGACTGCAATCCTTTATCTTCATCAGCAAGGATCTCAAGTCTTCCTCACTTTTAGCAAGCATGTTGTGCCGTCTGCATATTGAAGGTTGTTAAAAAATTTTCTCTAATCCTGATGCCCCATTCTTCATGTAATCTAGCTTCTCTGATAATTTCTCCACACAGATTAAGTATGGTGAGAGGATGCAGCCCTAAAGAACGCCTTGGCTAAATGTAAACCATGTAATAGTTTCTTGTTCTGTTCACACATCTGTCTTTTGAGCTGTGTATAAGTTCTACATGAGCACAATTAAATGTTCTGAAATTCTCACTTTCAAGCTATCCATCGTTTGTTATGATTCACACAGTCGAATGCTCTTGCATAGTCAATAAATATACTGGACATAGGTCTAAATGCTCAATATGTAGCTTTATAAGATTGGAGCTTTTGATATCTCCCAGTAGTCTTATGAGATTGGTGCTTTTAATATCTCCATTTTACTGGGGTACAGATAGGTTAACAAACGTCCAATGTCCAGGTTAATAAATAAATATTGGAGCTGAAATTTGAACTCAGCCTGACTCTTAAAGTTTGAGCTACCACTATGGGTGCTTGGAAAGACTGGGTGAATAAATGAGTGCTAAATCTATGAAACATCAATTAATGCACTGCCTCTCTTTATAATTCCTAACTTAATACAATTTGGCATTTTTAATTTGTAATTTTGAATACCTGCTGTTGTTTTATAGGAAGATAAATAAATTGTTCAAGGAAAGGTAGCTCTGGAATGTGAAGTAGTAAAAATAGATTTAACCTATAAAAATGTAGCAATCACTTAAAATGATAGAAACTTGTTAATTATATTTGACTTGTTAGTGTTCTATGTATATGCCTTGTGTGTATAAAATTGATGATTTAAGGTATTTCCCAAAATTTTGTATGGTTTATATATTTGTGATCTACATCATTAACTAGATTGTATTCAAGGCCAGGATAACCCTTAAAAACCATTGTCCTCCGTCAACTCCATATATTGATTAGTTTCCCCCATAAATTTCCCCACAGCATCTATGATAGTATTTGTACTGTTAGTCTACATATTGGTTTCTTAGCATAGCAAGGGATAATAGATAAAATTCTTCTGATATTTGGGAGCAAAATGGTTAATTCTTCATATTTTAATCTTTAGAAAGGTAAAACTTAAAAGTTGTCTATGAATATCTGAGTTTTGTCAGCTTTTTAAAATACTTGAATGAAAGTGGAGATAATAAATATCAAGGGGTTTGCTAAAGTGCCATTCCCAGCTTTACAGGACATTCCAAACCTAATGAGAGAAGACACGTCTTGACTGTAACATCGAAGGGCTGGGCGCATCTGTTTGCATCCTGTGTTCTTAACTGAATCTGATCTTTGACTAAGATCCTCGGGAATATCATGTATCATCATAGGATACAAAAGGAGCTCTGGTGGCGTAGTGGTTTTGCATTGGGCAGCTAAGTTCAAAGTTCGTAGTTCAAAACTACTAACTCCTGGGACGAAAGACAATCTTTCTACAACCATAAAGAGTTACAGTCTCCCCCCAATAAAATGATTTTAAGAAAAAAGAAAAGAATGATGGCAACATGTACAAAGATGCTTGATATAATTGATGTATGGATTGTTTTAAGAGCTCCCAATAAAATTATCTTTAAAAAAAGAGTTACAGTCTCAGAAAGTCACAGGGCAAGTTCTACTTTGTCATATAGGGAGGCTATGCTTGACATTGTTTAATGGAGGTGAGTATAGGATGCAGAGGGAACTGAAAATCAGTATTCAGTTTAAAAAATGTACTACACCCTGCTCCTGTTGGTAAACCATTTAATTCCCAGCTTCCCATTAGGCTTTGTGCCCTAATGTTTGAGTGAGTTTAGCTAATTTCTTTTTTTCTTTAAATTATTTTATTGGGGGCTCGTACAACTCTTTGCACAATCCATACATCCATCCATTGTGTCAAGCACATCTGTACATTTGTTGCCATCATTCTCAAAACTTTTTTTCTACTTGAGCCCTTTGTATCAGCTCCTCATTTTCCCCCTCCGTTCTCTCCCTCCCTCCCTCATGAACCCCTGATAATTTATAAATTATTATTTTTTCCTGTCTTGGACACTCTCCGATGTGTCCCTTCACCTGCTTTTCTGTTGTCTGTCCTGCAGGGAGGGGGTTATATGTAGATCATTGTAATTGGTTCCCCCTTTCTCCCCCACCTTCCCTTTCCCCTCCTGGTATCTCTACTCTCATTATTGGTCCTGAGGGGTTTATCTGTCCTGAATTCCCTGTGTTTCTAACTCTTAGCTGTACCAGTGTAGATCCCCTGGTCTAGCCAGATTTGTAAGGTAGAATTAGGATCATGTTAGTTGTGGGGGAGGAAGCATTAAAGAACTAGAGGAAAGTTGTATGTTTCATTGGTGCTACACGGCACCCCCACTGGCTCGTCTCCTCTGCGCAACCCTTCTGTAAGGGGATGTCCAGTTGCCTGTAGATGGACTTCGGGTCTCCACTCCACGCTGCCCCCTCATTCAAAATGATAAATGATTTTTTTGTTCTTTAATACCCGATATCTGATCCTATGGACACCGCATGATCACACAGGCTGGTGTGCTTCTTCCATGTGGACTTTGTTGCTTCTCAGCTAGATGGCCACTTGTTTATCTTCAAGCCTTTAAGACAGCGGTACCATTCGGGGGTCAAATGACCCTTTCACAGGGGTCACTTAAGACTATCGGAAAACACACTTCCGATGGTCTTAGGAACCAAGACACCACTCCTCTATCAGTCTCTAGGCGGTCCGCCAAATACGAGTACCCAGTGTGAAGACTGTTATTGTTACTCGTGTTACTTCATGCTTCAACAGAATATTTCATTTATTTGTAAATAGAAATAACTTTTACAATATGTAATTACATATTGTTTTTGTGATTAATCACTATGCTCAGTTTGTAACAATGAAAATACATCCTGCAGAAAAAAAGAAAATACATCCTGCATGTCAGATATTTACATTATGATTCATAACAGCAAAATTTAAGTTATGAAGATGCAACAAAAATAATTTTATGGTTGGGGGTCACTACAACATGAGGAACTGTATTAAAGGGTCACTGCACTAGGATTGGAGAACCACTGCTTTAAGACTCCAGACGCTATATCTTTTGATAGCTGGGCACCATCAGCTTTCTTCACTACGTTTGCTTATGCACCCACTTTGTCTTCAACAATGGTGTTGGGAAGGTGAGCATCAGGGAATGCCTGTTTAATAGAACAAAGTGTTCTTGCATTGAGTAAAGGCCCAATGTCCATCTGCTACCTTAATACTAAACCTATAAATATATGCACATAGATCGATTTCCCCATTGTCATATATAAATATATTTACATATGTACATGCCTATATTTAGACCTCTATAAATGCTCTTTGCTTGCCTCCTAGTTCTTTCCTCTATTTCCTTTTACTTTCCTCTTGTCCTGCTATGATGTTCAGATTTTGGCTAATTTCATAGCATGTATTCGAAGAGAATAAAATTACAGGCTGCATACATACGTGGCACACATACATGTTGCAGAAGTTAGGTGTCATTG